CCCCGGGGGGGTGATTTCTCGCTTTCTGTCTCTCTGTCTCTGTCTGTCTGGCGAGCACACGCACCCTATAGTAAAAACCTCTTAAAAAAAAAAAAAACTGACTTTAATTTTACAGATACAAATATGTTAACATAAAAGGATGGAACAACACCTATATTGTCAATACTAATCAAAAGAAAGCAGGAGTAGCTATATTTCTTCAAAATAGACTGCAAGCAAAGATTATCATCAGGAATGAAAGTTCATATCATCATGAAAAAATGACCAATTCATCACAAAGACGGCAATCCAAAATGTTTACATACCTAATAAAAAAACTTCACAACACATAAAGAAAAAAATGGCAGAACTTCAAGCAGTAGACAAAAACAAACTCGCAGGCAAAGAGATCAATACTCCCTACCCAACAGCTAATTGAACAAGCCATCAGAGGATCAGTGAAGACAGAGGTGATTTGATCAGCACTACCCACTAACTTGACCTAATTGTATTTATAAAATACTTTACCCACCAGCTGTAGAACACACAACCTCTTCAAGTGTATGTGGGTCATTTACCAAAAAAACCTGGTATTTTTGGCCACCAAACAAATCTCGATAAAATTAAAAGGATTCTAGTCATACAAAGAATGTTCTGTGATCACAATGGAATTAGAAATTGACAACATAAAAACATCTAGAAAATGCCAAAATACCTGGAAACTAAATAATACAATTCTAACAACCCCTGGGACAAACAAGAAGTCAGTGAAAACTAGAAGGCATTTTAAACTGAAGGAAAATGAAAACACAGCATATGAGAATTTGTGAAATACTACTGAATCAGTACTTTAGGATAAGTTTATAGCAGTAAACTACTGTATTAATAAAGAAAAACACCTCAAAGCAATGACTTCAGGTTCCACCTCAGAAAATGAGCAAAAAAAAGACCAACTACACATATGTGTATATATATATATGTGTGTGTGTGTATATTTATATATATGTGTGTACATTCTGTGTTAAATGAACAATAAAAATGATTCAGAAAGAAAAAAAAAAGACCAACTGAAACACAAAGGAAACAAAAGAAAGCAAATACTAAAGATCACAGTGGGATCAATGAAGCAGAAAACAGAAAAACAATAAAAATGAGCAAAAACAAAAGCCGGTTCCTTGAGAGTATCAATAAAATCAATAAACCTCTAGCCAGACAAAACAAAACAAAAATTTTAAAGCATAAAATTGGGCCAACCACTAGTGTGGTGGTTAAAGCAGCTGGATCTTATGTGGCCAACCACATGGTCTGGGTTCCAGACCTGGCACCTTGGGCATGTGTGCCCAAAATCCCTAAAGGAGGGAGAAATGGAGAAGAAATTGCAGCATGACCACTCCGCATGGAGGGGTCTTTCCCTGTCTCACTCTCTTTCTCTCTCAGGAGAATGTGGATGCCCTCTAGCAAATAAAAAAAAAAAAAAAAGAGGAGCCGCAGGTAGAATGGTAACTAAGGACCTGTACTCTCATGTGGCCAACGGCAGTTCGAGTCCTGGACCCGGCAACTTGCTTTCTCACTTTCCCTCTCTGTCTCTTTCTCTCTGTCTTTCTCTGATGAGCACATGTACCCTATACAAAATTAAAATAACAACAACAACAATAATAATAATAATAAAATTTTAAAAAAACAGAAATGGTCAATTTCAGGAATGAGAGAGGGGATATCACTGAAGACTTCACAAGTATTAAAATAACAGTAAGAGGGTATTAGAGACAACTTTAACCCAATACATTCAAGAATTCAGATGAAATGAGCAAATTCCTTGAAAAACATCAACTACCAAAACTCACTCAAAAAGTGACAAATAACTGGAATAGTTGTACACATATTAAAGAAAGTGTCTTACAGTTAAAAACATTCCACCAAAGAAACCTGCAGGCCCAGACTATCTCAATGACTAATTTTACTAAACACTTAAGGAATTAAAAAAAAAATCTCCCCCCCTTCCTCTCGGACATGGGGAATGAATACTCTGAAGATAATACCTCTGAGCTAAACGTGGATTTGGAAGGTCAGTACTATAATATTAAAGCATTTAAAAAAAAAAAAGACCCAAAAGCAGCATTAAGCTATTTCCAAAAGATTTTGGAACCTGAAGGTGAAAAGAAGAATGGGGATTTAAAGCACTGAAATAAATGACTAAGATTAACTTTATGTAGACAAACTTTCCAGAAATGATGAATAGATAGAAATAACTACTGACCTATATTCAGAGTGCAGTCACAAGAAATGACTCTGAAAAATCCATTAATTCTATTCTTATATCTCCACTTCTAAACAGATGGATTTACTACAAGACTTTTATAAAATAACACTGGAAGTTTTGAAAGATACTAAGAATGACAGACTGTGGTTTAAAACAAACACAAGGCTTGGAAAATTGTATTTAGAATGAGAGGAATATGGGCAACTTTTAAAAAATGTTACGTCACAAGGCTTGGAAAATTGTATTTAGAATGAGGAATATGGGAAACTTAAAAAATGTTACGCCAATTACATCAATCCTGCCAGACTGATGATGGAGAAAATGACCTGAAAAAGGTACTGAGTTGGGACCAGCAGATGGTTTAATGGCTATGTTGTTGGACTCCCATGTAGCTGACCGCTGTTCGAGTCCTGGACCTGGTGGCTTAAACTCACGCTGGGCGTGTGTGTGTGTGCCCAAGATCCTGGGAGGAGAATGGAGAAGGGATTGTGGTGTGGCCATCCCCCTTGGGGGTGATTTCTCAACTTTCTATTTCCCTGTCTCTCTCTCTGTCTGCACAAGCCCTATAGCAAAAAGACCTCTCCAAAAAAATTATTTTTTAGGGAACCAGCAGTTAGTGTAATGGCTATGTTACTGGACTCCCATGTAGTAGACTGCGGTTCGCATCCCGGATCCGGTGGCTTAAACTCACGCCGGTGTGGCACTGCCGAAGATCCCGAGAGGAGAATGGAGGAGAAGGGATTGTGGCATGGCCAGTGTTGGGGGGTGGGAGTGGGGTGGTGTGATTTCTCATTCTTTCCCCCTCTCTCTCTCTCTCTGCTGAGCACCCACACCCTAAAGAAAAACTTTTTAAAAATTCACAGGACTTCTATATAATGATGGAGGAAGAGACACAGAGCACCTACATGCAAGATCTATTAGTACTGGTTTTTACTCATGTATCTCCATTGCCTAAATCCGGCCGGTATAGTAGGAGCTCAAGGGCTATAGTGGCTGCCTCCCACCAGAACCACCACACACATGTGGGGGCAGAGTAGAAGCCAACTGGGGCTTTTGGGGATTACAATAAAAAACTGGGGGGATAACAAAACTCTTTTTGAGCTATGACTTTGTGATTATGCTTATCATTATTTCTCACAGTAATTTGCTCTTCCCATATAAAAATATACACAGCTAACAGGGGCCAGCAGGTGGCGTGGTGGTTAAGGCACTGGACTCCAATATGGCCAACCGCAGTCTGAGTCCCAGACCTGGCAGCTTCCTTTCTCTCTCTCTCTCTCTCTCTCTCTTCCTCTCTCCCATGAGCATGTATGCCCTGTAGCAAACTGAAGAATAATAATAAAGATAAATTTAAAAATATATACACAGCTATCTCACCAATTAATACAGACGTTTGCTCTAAAACTTAGGTAAAACCAGTAACATCCTTAGCCTCAGAAGACTGTTCTGCTAGCAGGTATTATTCCAACTGCCAAAATAACAATGTATGTTTTTATACTCATCAACAATCCACAACTTCACATTTATTTCAGTTTTGTTAATGGAGCAACTGTTACATTTATGTTCTCTATTATAAATCATAGGATTTATTGGTACATTTAGCCTTCCTGTTAAGATAGAATCAATCCATTCCATTAGTTTACAAAGCTTCTGAAGCAGCAAAAAGTCTGCTGTGAAGGTCTGAATATCTTGATTTAAAAAATCACTTTGTTCTGTAACATTTAAAGTGAGTGTTTTGATCCTTGAAGGATGTGTTATTCAATTTCCTTATCAGTTGCGTAGCAGACGTGTGAATTAGAAATTCTGTTGTCTGCATTCACTATGCATCGCACACGCTTACTGGCAGGCTGTGACAGATGATGCACACTGTGGTACACTTAGGTCTGCCAGAACACCATGTCTGTTCCACGGTTCTACGGGGCAGGTCCTAATTTAGTCGACCACAAAGGCAATGGTAGCGGTCATAAAGGTAAGGACATGAAAGTTCTAATCATAGCTGTCTCCAGAAAATCTCGAAGTATGTATCCTTCGTAGTGGCTTGCTAACATTTCCCATAAATAACGACTATCCAGTAAGAGGTAAAACCAATAAGCATCCTTAGCCTCATAAGACTGTTCTGCTAGCAGTTATTATTCCAACAGTAAGAGGCAGGCATGTATTTGGTTGGATAGGATACGCTGCTAACTAAATAAAATGAGTGTAATTTCATATCCCATTATGAGTAAGCAGGATCCTAGCTTATGCCACAGGAATTTCTGAAATAATCCTTTTGTCAATTAGTATCACTCACATTTAAAAAAGAACATTTTCATTCTTTCATGCATTTGTTCATCTATTCATTTATTTGGTTTTTCCATAGGGTGTATACATTAAGCTGGAGAAAAAGAGACAGACAGGGTGAAAGTAAGAAATCACCCTACAGGGGCCACGGGCTTGCCTCAATTCCTTTTCCTTCACTCTCCTCCTGGCATTTTGGGCGTACATGCACATGCACACGCACCCTGCATGTTTTAAGCCATGTGCTTTTCCTTCACTCTCCTCCTGGCATTTTGGGTGTACATGCACATGCACACCCACCCTGCATGTTTTAAGCCGTGTTGTCCGGGTCTTGAACCATGGTTTGTCATGTAGGAGTCTAGTGCCTTAACTACCACGCCAACTGCTGGCCCCACTATCATTCACATTTTAAAAGTAGCTAATATTATGAGACAAAAACTAGGAAGATGGGGAAGAGGAAAAGGCAATGCAAAAGAGGAGAACGGCGTTCTAACAGCGTTACGCGCCAGGCACTTAGTACGTGTTGTCTCATGGCACTCCCACGCAGAAGCTCTAGCTGACCCCACTGCAGGAGAGAGAAGAGTCAGGTGAAATAATCCACCCACGGTCACATCCTTAACGACAGTGAAGCTGGGTTTCCCACCCAGGCCCGCTTCTCTTATTATGCACGTTACCTCAGAAAGAATTTAATAGCAGAGAAGCAAAACACCGTGCGTGGTTTATTGTTGCTGACCAAAAACGTCAGCAACAATCGCCGGGACAGAGTCACTCACTGCGGATCTGACTTACTTCAAGGAGGAATCCCCAACGCCAATGCAGCCTCGCAGGCTAAGCTTCCTCAGGAATCCACCGCATCGCTTTGAGATATTTTCCACTACTCGACCCTTGAATCAAGAGAGTTAGAGAAAAGTATCATTTTTTTTGTGTGTGTATGTGCTGTGAAATTTAGGAACTGAATATGTATGTCCACGTATAGCAGAAGATATTTTGGAATGTTCCTCCAGACCTCAGTTTTATCCCTAATATATAATGCTACACTTGAGAATTGAAAAGTGTTTGCAATTATAGCCTTAATAGTCTTTTTAAAGGAGGGTGCACTGCCTTTTGAAAGCCTCATGCCTCTCCTACCCAGGGCTATAGCTACACCACCAAACATAAGGCTCTCTGAGGTCAGCTGGGGGAACACTGGCCACTGAACAGAGATCTACAAGAAGGTTGCTTAAAAAAGAAAATCCTACTTTACCTAAACATTACCACGGGAAAAGTATGAAAGTATCGTAAAAGCCCTGCTCGTCCTCTTTAGCAGTCTTCCACTTAAACACAATCGCTTTGAAAAAGGGACTTTTGCGGAGTACTGATAGAAATATTAGAAGAGACCAAAAGAAAACGACCGTTGATTATGCAATTCTACCTTTGGAGTAATGACTTTAACACTTTCTTGGACCTATGACTCCGTGATGGAAATAAGGAAGAGTATGTCTAGGACACGGGAGACCCTTCAGGTGTCCATGAGTATCACCGTGCCCTGTGCTTAGGCTCCATGGAAAATTTTAACGCCCCAGTCCAGGCAGTTCTACTAATGGCCCAGACCCTTCAGGAATATGGTCTGGGTCCCTCCACCAGGTAGAGAATCATGACCAGCAGAGATGTTTGCTGAGGGCAAAGGGAGCACAGAATGGATAGAGGAAGAAGAGAGTTATCAATACCAACTATAACCTCTACCTCCACAAAGGAGCAAACACTAGAAAGGGCTGTTTTGGGGCCAGCTCATGGCGTGACGGTTAAGGCAGCCGGACCCCACGTGGCTGACCCCACGATTCAAGTCCCAGACCTGGCCGCGTGAGACACATGTCATGGATGCCCAGGATCCCGAGGAGGAGAGATGGAGAAGAGACTGCGGTGTGGCCTTTCCCTATGGGGGAGTGCTTTCTCACCTTCCCTCTCCCTCTCTCCCTCTGTCTCTCTGGCACATCTGTCTTCTTATAAATTACATATGTAAAAAAAAATAAAAAGCCTGTTTTGTTTGGACTATTCTCCTCCTCACTATGTAAAGTAGTGGTCAGGGCACTGAACTATAAGCACTCTGAGTTCACCAGGATACATCAAATCACAAGACTGGGAACAGCAGATGTAGTAGTGGTTATGTCACTGGACCCCGACATAGCTGACTGCGGTTCAAGTCCTAGACGTGGCGGCTTAAAACTCATGCTGGGCGCATGTGCGTGTGTGCCCAAAATCCCAAGAGAAAGAGGAACTGTGGCATGGTCATCCCCTCGAGGGGGTGGGGGGGGGTGTGATTTCTTGTTTTGTCTCTCTGTCTCTGTTTTTCCAACAAGCACACGTACCCTATAGCAAAAATCTCTAAAAAGGCCCACACGTACCCTATAGCAAAAATCTCTAAAAAGGCCCAAAAAGCAAAAAGCACAGGATCACAAGATTGGGGCTCACATATATTCTTTTTACTTTTTAAGAATTATTTTATTTAACATTTATTTATTTTATTTTGACCAGAGAAGGACAGAGCGAGAAGACAGAGAGAGAAAGTGAGAAAGCAAGCTGCCAGGTCCGAGATTTGAACCATGATTAGCCATGTGGAAGTCCAGCGCCCTTAACTACCATGCCATCTGCTGGCCCGCTCATATATATTCTTACCTAGTTAACATCTTAATTATGTTGAAAAGCCAAACTTTGAAACTGCTAACATTTATTTATGCTCTCTTGAATGCTACCTAAGTTAATAATCATTTTTTGAACAAAATTCCAGGTAACTGATAAATTTGTAACCAGGGGGAAAAAAGATTATGACCTGGAAATACAAAATAAGTATTTAAGGGGGCCAGCAGGTGGTGTGGTGGTTAAGAGTGCTGGACTCCCATATGGCTGACTGCGGTTCGAGTCCCAGACCTGGTGGCTTCCTTTCTCATTTTCCTTCTCTCTCTCTCACTCACTCGCTCTGTCCTTCTCTGGTCAAATAAATAAATAAATAAACAAAGTTTATAAAAATTCTTTAAAAAATCAGTATTTAATTACCTAAGAAATAACACCCACCTCCACTCCATCAATGTTTACAAATGGAGTACCAAATATATTTTTCTCCATTTTAAGGAACATATTAAACTTTCTATTCCTCCTTTCTTTGGAACAAAAGTTCTACTGGAATAAAAATTATTTCATACACAATTTTCTGCTCCACTGTTTCCAACTAGGAAAGAAACAAAACAAGAAAAAGGACAAATCCTTTCCAAATACAATATTCAAGCCAAAAACTCTGTATCTTACCTACTAGACAAATGTTGGCAGTATGCATTTTTAGAATGAAGAACTTTAAGGAAAAATAAGGTCGAAATAGGCTTTTAGATGCCCTTGGAGTTATTATTTATTTATTTATTTATTTATTTATTTTTGTCAGAGGGTGTATGCACTTGCCAGAGAGAGACAGAAAGATTTATTTTTTGCCAGGGGTGTGTGTACTTGTCAGAGAGAGAAATAGAGAGAGGGAAAGTTAGAAAGAACTGTCCATGGGGTATGGCCACACTATAATCCCTTCTCCTTCATTTGTCCCTCTTCGTGGAATTTTTTGGCAAACACACTTGCCTGGTGCAATTTTTCAAGCCACTAGGTCTGGGACTTGAACCACGCAGTCAACCATGTGGGATCTAGCCATCTTAACTACCATGCCACAGGCTGGCTCAAACAATGACTTTCTTCTGTCCAACAGAAATGACTTGAACTTGTATAATTTAAAGTTCTTCTTGGGCCAGTTCTGTGGCCTGGTGGTTGAGGCAGCCAGTGCCCAGATGGCTAACTACACGGTTTGAGTTCCGTACCCAGCAGCTTAAAAAGCACTCTGGGCACACATGCCCCAAATCCCAAAAGGACAGAGAGGTGGAGAAGGGATTGTGGCATGACCGTTCCCTATGGGGGGAGGGGTGCTTCCTCCTCTCCCTTTCTCTCTCTCTCTGGTGAGCGCATGTGTCCTCCAGCACAAAGAAAAAGAAAAAAAAAGGTTCTCTCCAACATGATTAAGTAAACACAATGAACAAAAATTTAGGCGATCAGTTTGAAAGGGGATAACACGGGCTAGTGTGGAGTGCTGGCATGTTTGGGCTGGGCACTGATGCACTCACTAAGTCTAGAAAGGCCATTAGAGGGTGCCAATTCAGGGACCACACTCTGCGCTTATCTTCCTAGGAACCAGAGCTTATCCTTCCAGGATAGGCATGTGTTCCTGGCCCTTGGCCCCTCCCAAGCTCAACGCACGGTAATATGACGAATGAAGGCTTTCTCCACATGGCTACTGTGGGAAACTCTGCCCTATCTCACTCTCTGCAGGTGCTCTGCCCCACTGGGTGGAGATGGGACCAGATTCTCAAGCAGCCAAAAGCCTAGAAGAGGTGAAGGGCATCCCACTGACCACTAGTTTTTCTAGGTCATAGTAGGTGAAGTACAGGAAATTGCTTGATCCTATCTCAGTTACACACATTCAATTTTCTTGTCCATGAAAAAAGACATGATCCAGCTGGTGGCGTGGTGGTTAAGGTGGCTGGATCCCACATGGCTGACTCTGTGGTTCAAGTGCTGGACCTGGCAGCTTGAAAAACACATGTGTGCCCACAATCCCAAGAGAAGAACGGAGGAGAAGGGATTGTTTCTCTCTCTCTCTGTCTGTCTCCCTCCGACGACTGTAGCACCCTATGACAAAACAAAAACAAACAAAAAAAGATACAAAACACACACTTTGGTAAAAAGCATTTAATGAACACACTGCATGAATAACTGAATCAAAATGCAAAAGCCCCCTGTAACTGAGTTGGCTCAACTGGAAGCGAACAGTTTCACTAGCACAGGGTAGATAACAGACGTCGGAACCTCAAGACCCTCAAAACCAGCAGTCGGCCCTCTTTATCACTCTGCCTCTCAACTTTCTTTTTGGTTAGAGATACGGTGCTTACCATTAAAGTCGTTTTAAAATGAACTTTATTTGTTCAGCTTTACCACTCTTAAGTGAAGATAGCTACACATTTCCAGGTAAATACATCAGAATCCTGGAATTACACAAGGCTTTAAAGATGACTTTACTTCTTTACAGAATAGACCATGACATGGTCTGAGAGACATGGCCTAAGTGGCCAAATGGGGGTGGCACTTCAGACCTCCAGACTCACCCTTGGGCCTGTGCTTCTGCTACCTCTCCATTCCTGAAGCTGAATGAGAATTCAGCGGATCAATCAGCTCAAGAAATACTCATGTCTCCTAAGGTTTAAGCGCTGAACCAGGTGTTAATGAGGTAGGGCTGCAGTTTACAAAGCTGAACGGTAAGGCTCAGACTTTACAAACATGAACAAGGGGAAAAGCGTCTGTCACGATAAAAGACACGCGAGATCTTGGTCTTAAGGGATCCGAGTATCTTTCAGATCTCTCTCTTGTCCCATCTTGGCACTCTACGGTTTACGACTCCTTCTAGAGAGTCTAAGTGAAGTTAACTCACTCACCTCCACATCGGTTTGAAAGTTAAAAAGATCTATTCTTTGCCAGTTGCTTCCATCCAGGGCTAAGATGTTCCAAGCCTGCAAGGGGGGAGGTAAATTTACTTAGATTTACTTTAAAAAGTTTAAAAAAAAAGTCTTCATGCAACTTTTATATTTCCAAACTTTTATTCTTGATGCATGTTGTTAATAGTCAAATACAGAATTATCATAACACTGGATTGAATAGAAAAGATAATTAGATTTTAATTTTTAATGGTTTATTTGAGCTAAAACTCATCCTTATTCTAATAAAACTTGATATTTATGGGTTAAAAAAAAATCTAGTGAATACTTTACCTTGGAAATCTGTGCACATCGGCACAAAGTTACTATATCCAAGAAGGAAAATATTCTAGGAGAAAAGGGGGGAAAAACACAAAAACCAGATGATGTTAATATTTTAGGATAAACTGAAAGATAAAATCCACAGTGTCACCTGGATATGTAAGATTTTTCAGGATTCTTCACTTTGCAATACATAGGTGCAGCATAGTTTTTCATCACTACTGTGAAATATTCCGTTTGCCTGTTTAGAAGCTATTTTCGATCAAATCTCTTAAGACAAAACTCACTGAATGTGTATTACCCTTGTTCTGAGAAACAGACATGGAAACGCAGATTATAACTGGTTCTCTCCAAAGATGAGCATCTATCTCCTGGGCACCAGGCCTGAGGATAGCCCGATCCTCCTAACCTCAGTCCCTGACACACGGCGTAAACCATTCTTTCAGTGACAGATGACTGTGCCTCGAACAACACAGCCAAAAACTACCCCGCCATGAAGACACGCACAACTCGATAATAAACACCCATTGGTGGGGCCGGCAGGTGGCATGGTGGTTAAGGGCACTGGACTCTCACATGACTGACCGCGGTTCAAATCCTGGACCTGGTGGCTTGCTTTCTCACTTTCTCTCTCTCTGTCCCTCTCTGGTCAAATTAAGATAAATAAATAGAGTTAAATAATTCTTTTTTAAAAATCAGTGGCTTCATGTAATTGTTCATGTGGCACAAAGATGGAGCTCAATAGTTGGCAAGGTCTACGAATGACCCGTTTTTCCTGAGTAAAAGTCAAGAAACCACAGAAGAAGCAAAAGATGGGGAAAAAGAAAGGCAGAGAGAAGCAGATGAAAATCTGGTTGACATCACTAATGCCTCGTAGAGAACGCAGTTGCTGCCAACCACGGCAGCGGTCTGAGTGAGGTCCCAACCTTCTCCAGTGGAGGAAAGGAGGTGCTGATGAAAGCAGGGTGGGCAACAGAGGAGGGGTGCTCAGCACCGAGGAGTGGCAGCCGAAACAGAGCAGCTTTGCTGTGAGAAGGGTGGGTGGGGGTGAGGTCTGCGGTCTGGGGCGATTCCGTGTCTCAATTCTGGTACTCCAGGCAGTAGACGTGGAAGAGTGCGCCTGTGTATAGGAGGACGCAAGAGGACAGCCACCTATGGAGCTCCTCACAATGCTTCAAAGTAACAGGCAGTGGTAGGTGAGTTGAAAATCCATGAGCTCAAATGGGTTATTATAAGGGATAACCTTATAGTATTGTCAACTGGACCAGTGCAAAATGTACACATTGGAATTTTCACTTTCCAAGCTAAGTAACGTGATTGAATGTATAAAAGAAACTGAAATTTAAAAAAAAAAATCCATGAGCTCAACAGAGCCAGAAGACACCAGAGTGCTACACCCTACGTAAGTCACCCGGACGCAGCACCATGGGACCAGTGATGGCCTAGAAGAGTCACTCATCTTCCCATGAAGAACAAAGGAAGGAGGCATCGGAAGGCTGCACTGACCTTAAAGACTTTGTGGGTCTCTGTACACGGAAAAATGCTGGTAGCTGAAAAATTGTCCTTAAATACTGTTCAACACATTTCAGGGGAACCACATGCTTCCTTTGCCTCTATGGTCACATCTTACCCAACTCATAGGCCCTTTTGCCAACAGGCATGTCCTATGCCACTATAACCACCCATAGCCAGGCACAACTGGTTGTCAGCTCCCTCAAAAAACCAAACACCAGGGACCAGCAGTTGGCGTAATGGTTATATCACTGGACTCCCATGTAATCAACTGTGGTTCGAGTCCTGGACCCAGTGGCTTAAACTCATGCCGGGCGTGTGTGCATGCGTGCCCAAGATCCCGAGAGGAGAATGGAGGAGAAGGAACTGGGGCATGGCCATCCCTCCTGGGGAGCCATTTCTCACTTTCTGTCTCTCTCTTTCTGGCAAGCGCACACACCCACAGCAAAAATGTCTCCAAATATAAACACCAGATGGAGTAACAAGTCTAGTAGAAAAAAGTCATATTCATGCTGGGTGGGCTCTGAAGTGCAAGCCGAAGGTGAATAAGGAGTTAAGTTAGTTGCCCTTGAAAATCTTTTCAGTATACACCACCTTGGAGAATCACACGCTTTTTCTACTAGACTTGTTACTCCATCTGGTGTTTATATTTGGAGACATTTTTGCTGTGGGTGTGTGCGCTTGCCAGAAAGAGAGAGACAGAAAGTGAGAAATGGCTCCCCAGGAGGGATGGCCATGCCTTCTGGTACTCCAGGCAGTAGACGTGGAAGAGTGCGCCTGTGTATAGGAGGACGCAAGAGGACAGCCACCTATGGAGCTCCTCACAATGCTTCAAAGTAACAGGCAGTGGTAGGTGAGTTGAAAATCCATGAGCTCAAATGGGTTATTATAAGGGATAACCTTATAGTATTGTCAACTGGACCAGTGCAAAATGTACACATTGGAATTTTCACTTTCCAAGCTAAGTAACGTGATTGAATGTATAAAAGAAACTGAAATTTAAAAAAAAAAATCCATGAGCTCAACAGAGCCAGAAGACACCAGAGTGCTACACCCTACGTAAGTCACCCGGACGCAGCACCATGGGACCAGTGATGGCCTAGAAGAGTCACTCATCTTCCCATGAAGAACAAAGGAAGGAGGCATCGGAAGGCTGCACTGACCTTAAAGACTTTGTGGGTCTCTGTACACGGAAAAATGCTGGTAGCTGAAAAATTGTCCTTAAATACTGTTCAACACATTTCAGGGGAACCACATGCTTCCTTTGCCTCTATGGTCACATCTTACCCAACTCATAGGCCCTTTTGCCAACAGGCATGTCCTATGCCACTATAACCACCCATAGCCAGGCACAACTGGTTGTCAGCTCCCTCAAAAAACCAAACACCAGGGACCAGCAGTTGGCGTAATGGTTATATCACTGGACTCCCATGTAATCAACTGTGGTTCGAGTCCTGGACCCAGTGGCTTAAACTCATGCCGGGCGTGTGTGCATGCGTGCCCAAGATCCCGAGAGGAGAATGGAGGAGAAGGAACTGGGGCATGGCCATCCCTCCTGGGGAGCCATTTCTCACTTTCTGTCTCTCTCTTTCTGGCAAGCGCACACACCCACAGCAAAAATGTCTCCAAATATAAACACCAGATGGAGTAACAAGTCTAGTAGAAAAAAGTCATATTCATGCTGGGTGGGCTCTGAAGTGCAAGCCGAAGGTGAATAAGGAGTTAAGTTAGTTGCCCTTGAAAATCTTTTCAGTATACACCACCTTGGAGAATCACACGCTTTTTCACCTCTTAGCAATAACAATACTGACCATCGATTATACCCTTACTGCGTGCCAGTCACAGTTTATCCACAGTACAGTGATGAGTGGCTGTAATCATCCCCACTGTACAGATAAAGACACTGAGTATATTGTCTCGATTACTGATAACTGTTCTTTTTTTTTTTTTGGAGAGGTTTTAGCTGTAGGGCGTGTGGGCTCGACAGAAAGACACAGAGAGACAGAGAGACAGAAAGCGAGAAATCAACCCCCGGGGGGGATGTCCACACCGCAATCCCTTCTCCTCCATTCTCCTCTCAGGATCTTGGGCATGCACACACACGCGCCTGGCTTAAGACACCAGGTCCAGGACTTGAACCACAGTAGACTACATGGGAGTCCAGCGACATAGCCATTACGCTAACTGCTGGTCCCAGATAACTGTTCTTTTCCAAAAGCTTATGGTCCTTTTTTTGTTTCTGTTTCTTATCTTATTTCATTGGCTAGTATGTTTAGAAAAACAACGTATAGCAAGTAACAGAGGACAAGGTTACCCATGACATTTGAAGGTCCTAAGGCAATAGTATATAAGAAGACCAAAAATCATAGGCTTAAATAATTAAAAGTTATAAAAAATAAGCTAGCAAATATGTTCTTTCTTCCTTTCGTGACAGGTATATTTTTGTAGCAAAATTTTTTAAAACTGAAAAGCTGTGCTGTTTACATAACTGAAAGTTGGCAAAATATCAAAGACTGAATGTAATTATTATTAAGGTGCTCTGCTGAAGAATTTGAAAGATTTGGATAACTAAAAAAACAGACACGCAGTATTCAAAAATAATGTATTTCTAATCCAAAATGTATTTTTCATGGCTTATGTTGTTGTTATTAATATGATATATTTTAAACTTTATTTCCTGAGAGAGAGAGGAAGGAAAGAGGGAGGGCAGGACGCCTGGCATCTATGACAAAGTCCTCACACCACAATCTGCCCCCAGCCCTGTAGCTATCTAGGATCACGTGTGCATCTGGTGTATTCAGGTAGACCAGGATGTGAGCCCAGAGCCTTCCCATATGGCCTCCGGCATTGTGTAACGGTACCCACACCACCTGAGCCAACACGGCAGGGCCAATCATGATTAATATTTGCATATAATTTTTATTCCATTGTAATTAATACCAAATTAAACCTTTCTCAAGTCATATAGTTCTTAAAGTTTGTTTGTTTGTTTCCCTTAAACAGATTTGTTCTTTAACAGATTGTAGAAACTTCACAATGCTGAAGCAACAGCAACTAGTATCAATAAAGGCAATACTCTGAAAATATAACAGGGGTCCAGCAGGTGGCACAGTGATTAAGGCACTGGACTCCTACATGGCCAACTGCAGTTTGAGTCCTGGACCTGGTGGCTTGCTTTCTTACTTTCTCTCTCTCTGTCTCTCTCTGGTCAAATTAAAAAATAATAATAATGATAAATTAAATTAAGTAATTCTTTAAAAAAAAAAAAGAAAAGAAAAGAAAAGAAAATAGGACCGCCTTGTAGTTTAATGGTTAAAAGAGGTAAATTCCATGTGGTCAACCAGTTTGGATTCTAGCCACAGTGGCTTGCAAAACACCCCAGGCATGCCCAAAATCTTGAAAGGATGGAGAAATGGAGGAAAAGAGACTGTGGCTTGACCATGCCCCATTGAGGGTGTGCTTTTTTCATCTCTCTTTTCCTGTCTCTCATCTCTCTCATAACTGCAGTGTGCCCTGTGGCAACTGAAAATAAAATAAAAGTATAGCAAAAATTTC